GGTGGGTACGGACGGGGCCGGGACAGGTATTAACATCCATGTCCCTGCCCCTGCCCCTGATTTTATCAATCGGGAAAAACTCAAACCCAAACTCGATAAACATGGGTTTTTCCTGTTCAAATCGGGACGAGTTCAAGCGGGTACCCACGGGACGGGTTAGATTGTCATACCTAGGATCCAAATCATAATGGTCAATATGGTGAGGTAATTGTTGCATTCTCGAGAGGACCAATAATTTGTATTCCTCATTAATCTAATAAGTACTTTTCTTTTTCTAACCGTCATGAAATTGATTGTCTAAAATTAAGTAATCATTCTCTTGTGGAAGTATAATGGGGGCATTTTTCTTATCTTTTGGAATTAAATGCACCAAACTCAATAATATTAAATGTAAATATATTTAAAAAAAATAAATCTTACATTAATTAATCTAATGAATATTTTACTTTTCTTAAGAAAATAGAATTGACTCAAGTCAACAGAGTTATCATTCTCACTAAAGATTAATACATTCTTTATTTTTTTTGAAATTGAAAGCACCAAACCCAATAATATGAGATATATTTAGAAAAATCTAAACTTCATATTGATTAAAGATAAAACTAAAATAAATTATATGAATGAAAAAATAACTTTCATTTTACAATCTGAAACATGGGACATGAGTTTTTGCTGATAAATAATAATATATTATGACTAGAAAAATCAATACAATTTATATATGCAATACATCCTTCATCACCTACTAATAATAGTTGAATCTTATCTTTCCATTGAATTTGACTGTTAATCAGCACTAATGTGGAGCACTAAGACTCTAAGAGCATTCTAGACAGAGTGAGGTAAAATAGCAAGGCAGAGAGAATTCAGTGAACCAACAAAGTGTAGCACCTTATGACATCAATCATATCATGTATCTCAACGAGTCCACTTCAATGTGGATAGTAACAAAAGACAAATATGTTTTTGACCCATGCCTATTTTAATGGAACTTTACTATGATGATGCATATGAGCCATCCAAACTCCATAGCCACTAAGTAGCTCCTCATATAATTCCCAAGCTTAAATTTTAATTAATCATGTCAACGCGACACTGTCTAATTATTTTTTTTATTAGAACAAAATTTGAACTTAATATTATATAAATATTATTTCAATCCCTTAAGACTAAATCGACTTTATTGGTTCAACAACGTTGCTTATATTAAGAATTCTCTATCGGTTTAAGAAAAATATAAAAAAAAAAAACTTACAAGAATTCAAAGAGTTGTCATTGAAGAAAAATATCTTTTATTTATATATTCTGTTTTTTACTTTGAATTATAAAATATCACTACTTTTTCTTATTTCCTGTTTTCAAAAATTGTATACATGCATCGGTGAATCAACTTTTTATTACTTCATTTTTTAAAGTTTATATAGAAAATAGTAAATAGAAGAGTTTTTTGTGGTCTTGCCACGCGTAAGTAAATAGAAGACTTTACGAGCAAAGAAACAATTAGCATAATTTAGCAATAGTAAATAGTCGATTTTTCCTCTCAATCTCTTATATTGATTTGATTCCTTGTTGTTTGTTGCTGTAAACAATTATTATTTAAATTAAACTTGAACTAAAAAATTATTAGTTAAATTAAAATAATTTTTTTGTCAATTGATGTATGCACTCTATAAAAGTTAAAATATTAATTATGCAATAAATTATTTTTCATATTTTAAAAACATTAAAAATTGAAGAAGAAAAAAATTCAGACGTATGTCATGCATTAAAACAGCTCAATTTTTAAGCTATTAATTTATAAGGAAAAGAATCACCTTAAATTTTACTTTTTTTATAAATAGGCACCATAAATTTTTATTTTCTTATAATTAATCTTTAAACTTTATCTTATTTGTAAAAGACATTCTGAATTTTAATTTTGTTTCAATTAATCCTTAAATTTTATTTTTTTCTATAAATAAATACCCTCAACTTTAATTTTATTTTAATTAATTTTGACATTTGATAATTTATTATTTATACAAAATTTTTATATTATCAATTTAGAGTTAAATTATTTATCTTAAACATCAATCATTCATTAATATTTTTTATGGTACAATTATTTTTTTCAAAATATAATAAAAATACAAATTTTGGAAAGAAAAAAAAATAATAAAAAGAAGTCTTTATTTGATTTTTTTCTTCTTCTAAATTATATGGTATTTTAATATATAAAAATAAAATTAATATGTATGTACCAAAAATTAAATAAGTGTGATTTAAAATAAATAAATAATTGGTATTTTTTATCTTAATAATTTAATCTCGATATAATATAAGAGATTTAAAAAAAATAATTCAAATAAAATTGCAATCAAAATATTTATTTATAAAAATTGTAAAGTTTAAAAATAAATTATAATAAAATTAAAGTTTATGATCACCCAAAGGAAAACCAAATTCGTAGGATGTAAATGCAGCAACTTGATATTTGATATGATTGAATTGTTTGGGCAAATCATCTTGAACCTCTCTCCACCTTCTTTACCTTCTTCTTGAATGAATATTTGGAAGTGGAGCTAATTAGGTCATGAAAAATGATGACATTCGAAAAGCATTCCGAATAATTAAAATAATAATTTAAATTATAAAATATTAAATTAAATAAATTTTTATAATAAATTTATTAAAAAATATTAATATTTTAATATTTGGAGGATAATTTGAAAAAAAAATTGGAGGTTGTATCGTTACTCATTAGGTCATTATTTTGCAATTGCTGTTCTACTCTAGTCACAATAATTGTTCACTTCATATAAAAACTTAAATTTCTTCACTTTCTCAACTAAATGAACCTTTAACCTTTAATCTCAATATAAGATATAATAAAACTGAACTATAACAAATGATATTTTATGTAGAATTGAAATTAAATAAAATGTTTAAAGAGGGCTAAAATAATAAGAAATTAAGTGCAAGTTTACTCATTACTTGATACTTTCTTTTTTGACCTCAATTAGCTGCAACCTCAAAAGATAATCAGAATTAAATGTCCACGTTATTCTTTTTCCTGTTTATATAAATGCCGTTTTAAAAATATGCATATTATATTTTCAGTGTTAATTAATTTACATTATTTTAAATAAATTAATTAAGTAATTTGTTTTCAATTAATTAATATGTTCAAACATTATCCGAATAGCTTGTGGTCCACTTGGTCCAGTTTCATAATTAGTTCCTACCATAAATTAACCTAATTTAGCCTGACCTGCAAATGAGTTAAGTAATCAAATTGACATCCTAACTACTATAATACTATTACTGAAGTTATGACTTATGAAGCAAAAAACTTTGATTCCACGTGCTATTAATATTTAGTGGTCAATGTTTTAATTATGATGCTAGATTTATTAAAACGCCACGTGAAAAATAATAATAATAAATTGCTGCAATAAAAATTCGATTGCGTTAATAGGGAAATAAACACGATTCTATCATCAGTTTTATGTTCGTAAATCATACTGGTTAAAAATTAAATTAAAAAATGCAATGAAACCACGTGCTGGTGCTCCATTGGTTAAATATTAAATTTAAGTAAATAGTAAATAAGTGATCCAATATCATGGTGGGATGTTGTTCAGCACCTTTCATCAATTTTCCTTTCATATGATTCAGCGGTAACATTCACTCGTTGTGTTATCAAAACCTGTTTTATTAAGGTTTTGTTTACAGGTTTTGAAATATGAAATTTCTAAAGCTAAATTACTCCAACATGCAATATAAAAAATAATAGTATTTGAACTTTTCATATCAAACAGTCAATTACTCGATTTTGGCTTTTGAACCGAGTTCCCCCATGACTATGGTCTGAAAACAACTCAATTTACAGTCTAAGATTCTCACAGCATGAAATACCAAACGGCTATGTCAGCAAAATATGAATTGATTCCTGATTGGCTGGTGTGAATTTGTGGCAAAACAACGTATGAAATCTCTCGACTTTACTTCCAATCTGATTCGTACTAGAAGAGCTTTGTGCACCATTTGCAGATCATGGAGAATATGAAAATTCCCAACCAAACTGCAGTTCTGCACTGTGATAGCCAGCATATGATTAAAAACTCATCCTATAGCTTCAGATTTTTCCTTACAACTTTTAAGGCTAAAAATGAGTCATGGACAAGAGCAGTTTGAAGATATCTTGTTTGTCCAAATAGAAGCATCAACCTTGGCAGTAAATTTTCTCAAACTCCCTCATTGACTGCATTTACAAAGAATTTCTGATTCATGGCTGCAATTTGCCCAAAGATTTCACTTAATTAACACAGTTGATTGCAGTGTTTAGTCTCATTAACATGTTCCTCTTTTTCTACATACATGTCATCATCAAATGATTCTCGATCTTTAACTTTAAGAAAGCTTCCATCCTTCGGTGGCTTATAATCCTTCCCCCTCCAAACCACAATTTGTTCATTATCAAATGTCACCAGAATACAGGGGACCAGGTCCTGCATTAATACATGAGATAATTGAAAAGAGCAACTTAAATCACCAAGCCCAGGGGAACAAAACTTGAAAACCAGAAATCATATAATAGCCAAACAAACTCAATTTTAAAACTTGAATTGAGGTACCTAATCATCCTAGCAGAAAAAGGCATTTTACATCATAGTTATGCAACACAAGATAATTACATGGCAAAGATAGCATTGTAAATTTAGTTATCACAACCATTTCAGCAAAGCAAAAAATAATAGTCTTTACCCTGAGTTTGCAGCCTATTTTCTTGTAATCTTTCCTCTCAAGCCCTGTGCAGTCTATCCGAACCAATTCACAGGAGAGGAAAGCATCTCTGACCATGGGTACCAAAAAAGCATAATAACCATTTTTGGCTGCAATTCACTTCAGGGTCAATTATGTTTGCAAAAGCATACCGGCAATTGAATTAGAAAATGCAACGGACATACCAAGTTTTGTTAAAGCAGGAATAGTTAGTCCTCTCTTCCGCATTTCTTTTGTTTCCTGAATACTTAAACCATCAATTGTTGTCTTGATCAGTCTGGGATATACAGGTTCATGGGGTTTCCACAACATAAGAGGAATTACAGGCCTCTTTTTTGGATTATAATTCCTGCCTCTGTATAATACAAGTGTACCCCCATGTCTGAAAATGACCTTCCCAAATGTTTTGTCCTGCAACAAGAACATGAGAATTGCTAATACATGTGTTATTTGATAGGTTTAGATATAATAATCGCAATTCACAAACAATCCAACCCACAGTTTAACTATCATAAGAGTCCACATGTTTCAAAACGGATCATAATATAAAACTCTACTTAAGTAAATGAAAGAAGCGAAGAGTATGAAAAGACATGAACCTCAAGCTGGGTACAAATATTATTCATGTCCATCGTTGGAACACCCATGCATTTGATTCTAACTGCTTCAGCAAATTTCCAATGGTTATGAATAACATTCAGCATGTTGTGAGTTAAACCATCCCTCCCTGAAACCAAAACAATCAGAGTCCATCATTAATGAATTACAAGATAGAGATTCAAGAACACATAATGAAGTTAAAAAGAAAAGTTCTGGTTGTGTTATTTAGCCTTTTCTACATAAAAATATAGTAATTCATTGAGAAAGCTGCAACCAAATTATATGGAGAAGGGCAAGATAAAATTCACAACCGAATCTAGAACTTTTATTTAAACATCTATCTGCAGGATCTTCCTAGAAATAACTACAACTACAATGAAAACAACATTCGAAACATGCTTCCAATACATGTCAGCAAATGGACAAAGTTGCCTCCTCAGCTCACCATATCCATCCAACACAATTCCACTATCAATGCAAAACAGATTGATGTGTTATTCATTTCTCAACACAACCAAAACCAAACAAAAAATAAAAGCTTGTAGAAAAAGGACCAAAGAACATCATGCTGTCTGTCTCATCAAACAAAATGCAAATTTATAAGCACCAAGCAACCATTGAAAAATTTCTTACCAAATCCCACCCCTCCCGCCACAAAAGTTCAAAATGAAATTGAATTTTTTTAGCACATATCTGACATGAATCCAGCAAACATTTTGAAGCATAAATATTTGATAGTTTTTAAAAACAACAATAACAGCCCTATCTCACTCGTTAAAGTTGAATACATGGATCACACCTCGCAATTGGGCTCTATTTTAAAAAAAAAAAAAAAAAAAAAACTCAGGGATACTATTCACCCTGAGACCCTTTTAACAATTTTCTTCAATGCACTTCTTAATCTTCCTCTATCCCTTTTTGTGGGACTAAAAAGTAAAAGCAATACAAACTACTCTCCTAAACCCAGTACTTCCAATGGCCCTTGCACATATCCAAACCACCTTAAACAACATCTCAACATTTCCTCAAATCACATAACTAACCTATGAAAAAAATAAACAAAAATAAGGTATACTTTTCCACACACTTAAAAAAAAAATTCTTTTTTGATAAGTGAGATAGATTATAACAACGTACATGAACATCGAACCTAAAACTTCTTGCATATAATTTAAGTATTCATAAATCATGACGTTAGTCCCTAAGTATTCATAAGGCTAGTTAAACTTTCATACCGATATTGACATGCTTGTTAGTTTTGCTTCTCTCGCATTGCGAAACCAGTGCCTTTCTCTCATCACTGGAAAGCGGTTTTCCTTGAATCATCTCTCTCTTCTTCTTCCTTTGCTCCTCCAACTTAGGGTCCTCCGCACCCTCCAAGGTCTGCACCGTGGGGTCCACCGCGGGGGCACACACTCCGGTCCACTTCCGGTCGAGCCGGTCCGGCCCAAAGGGCGAGTACTTGGGCTCCCTCAGCCCGATGGGTCGCACCTTGGGGCTGCTCTCCGTGTAGCTGAATCGGAAGTCGAAGGGCAAGTCGTCGGAACGGACCGTTTTGCGGCCACTCCGGTCGAGGGAGGAGGGGGGCCGGTACTTGGGCTTGGCCTTTTTCTGGTTGGGCTTGGTGGGAGGGGAATTGGGGCATTGGGCCTCGGGAGTGAGAGAAGAAGGGGGTTTGAAAGTGTAGCAGGCGTGGAGTTTGGAGGCGGCGGAGGAGAGGTGGCGCGTGAGCAGCGTGGCGGTGGCTGAATTTTGGCGGGTAAGACCAGCGAGGAGGGACATTAGGGTTTAAGCTTTAAGGGTGCATAATGTTTGAGCAGTGGTGGTTCTTCTAGCTGCAAAAGTATGTTCTTTTTTTTGTTTTTTTTTTAATCCTGCAAAAATAAGTTTCAATAACACAGAAAGTTTTATTAGCCCGGGTTAAATTATAATGATGTTAAAATTTGTATTATGAGTTAATGATTTTTAACATAACTTGATCATTCGACACAAGAAATAATTTTTTACTTAATTCATAATATTATTAATAAGTTTAAATATGTTTTAAATTTTTTGTTAAATTTATTTTTAATTTTTTAAATTTAAAATCAATTTTTTAGTTTTATAATTTTAAAAAATATTATTTTAATTTATATATTTAAATTTTATTAAAAAATTTGTCAAATACTCTCGCATAAAATCTACCTATAAGTATTTTTTATAGTAAATATATCATATTAAACTTAATCGATATTGTATAATTGTCTCAATTTAAGATTTATTATTAGCTATTTAAGAACCTAAATCAAAATTTTTAAAAATTATAATATTAAAAATAATAATTTTAAATTTGAAGGATAAAAATAAATTTATTTTAGATTTAAAAGACTAAAAATATATTTAAGTTTTATTAATATATAATCATGACAAAATATATTTCATTATATTTTGATTTGTAATATATTATGATTTGTAATTCTTTTATAATATAAAATAATTTACACTGATATATAATATTAAAACTCATATTTTATTGGTTTAAGTTAGGAAATTCTAATAAATTAATCTAACTCATTAAGACTTGATCATACTTATAAGACATGTATTCTAAAAGTTAATTATTTTATATCAAATATATGGGGTTATATTAAAAGTTGTATATATACATGTAAAAAATACAAAATCATTTTTCACCAATATGGTTACATAAAATAATTATTATGAGAGATTCACTTATCGTGTAATCCCTCTATCTTCAAAATATGAAAATCTTAACTAATTAATTTGCCATTTTGATGTGTAAATTAATTTTTACCATGTTTCCAATATTTGTAATTATTATATTTGTATTTGCAAAATATTAATCATGTCTATATTATTTCAGGGAAATAAAAATAAACTCTTTAAAAGTGCAAACCAAAGAACTAAACATAAAAGAGCTTAGATACATATAAAGGATATTTAGTAAAAAATTAAGTCTTTGAAATTCGTTAAAATAAGTAGATCATGACTCTGACAATATTTCATTTTTCATAAAATATTTTATTAATAATTTTAATATATTTATTTTATTAATGAGATTTAATATTTATTTAGCTATTTGATATATTGTGAGTAAAAGACAAATTCGGTGTGGCAAAATCAATAGTGAGAGAGCCAACGATGCGAAGCCACTCCATGCCCAAAACAATGTCGACACTCCCCTATAGGCATGAGATAGAATATGATGTAAAAAAGGTGACCTCAAATTGAAATAGGATTTTGTTCACATAGGCTCGAACATTCAATATGTTGGTCATTACCAACCATGACTGAAAATTTAGGAGTGGGGGTGATAGGTAATTGAAGGTGTGTAGCTAAACAGGGTTGTAGGATGTTATAGGAACTATCGGTGTCAATTAAAACTCAAATAGCTATATTATGGAGTTTGCCTTGGAATTTGAGTGTTTTTGAGGAAGGGTGACACATTAAGGCTTGAAAAGAGAGATGAAATATGGGAGGGTCTGAAACAGGGATTAGATAAGTAGCCTCACAAGGGGTGTCTCAATAGATTGTTCTGCCGGTTGATGAAGGTTTTTTCACAAACCCACCACTTGGCAAGTGAACCAAGTTTCGAAGTAGTATTCAAATATCGTCCTCAGGGATTTGAGTGTTTAGTAATTCTTGCTCTAATGATTCAAATGAGAATTTTGTTATAATTGCAAATGAGTGAAAACAAATTAGAACAACACAATAAAATAAACATAGTAAGAACAATAATTAAGAAACAAGGATTGGTTCAGGAGCACTTGCTAACTCGTAGATCTTCTTATGATAAATGCGATTTTAATTCCATTATTTTCACGTTCATTAAGTAATTCAACAAGATTCCTCAAGGTTGAATCCTAAAGTCATTAAGCTCAAAACATGATTCCTCTATGTTTTAAGTTTAACACTTCGCATTAAGAACAATGACTTGAACAATGTGACTAACCAAATCAAGTCTATTCCTAGAACAAGAAATGATTAGGTGCAAGATTCAGTTCGGGTTTTCGAAAACGTTTTCCAACTGGATTCAAAAGCCAAAAATCATACAACGGGTGATCAAGCCGATATAAGCATTAAGGGAAGAATCAAGCACAAATAATGAGATCAAAATGCATATATTTAAGAAGAAGAGGAGTTAGTAGTTACATCCAACCAATCCTTAAGAAGTTTAGCCACACATGGCCATTACAGGATCAAAGAGTGAAAAGAAGAAATTACAAAGTAAAAGATGAAGAAATGGAGTTGATCTTCGTTCCCAAAGGATTCAGCTTCCAAATCTTTGTTCTCCCTTCGTTCTTCCCTCTTCACGTGCTTCTCCCCTGTTTTTCTCTGTAATTTTCGTGATACCTGGTTTCTCCTCTTTTCCCCTTTTATATGGGCTTCAAAACAGGGCCAAAAAGTGACTTTTATTCCCACGGCTGCAGCTGTAGATCCACGACTATAGCTGTGGAGAGTCCTTCAGGGTGAAGAAATCTCTGGCGCTGCAGCTGTAGCTCCACAGCCATGGCTATGGAAACTCATTCATGATTAAGCAACTCCCTGAGCTGTAGTTGTGAAACCACAGCTATGGCTGTGAGTCTCTGTGGCTTTTCCTTGATCTCCCAAGTCTCAACGCTCAAGCTTTGGACCTGCAGCTTTAGCTTCAAGTCTCTGGAACCAAAAATGAGCATTCCAGATTTCCACAGCTATAGCTGCAGAATCCACAGCTATAGCTGCAAGTTTCTGGTCTTCAAAATTTCTCCCCAGATTTCCACAGCTATAGCTCCAGAACCACAGTTATGGCTGTGGAAATCTGTCTTCTCAATTTTCCTACAAAAAATGGAGAGAAAACATTAGGCTTTTGCTACTACTCTACTACCCTTTTAGTATATTTTGATTCTTCCAATTTAGAGGCAAAATAACATATATAAATATCTACAAATACCAAAAAGAGTACCAAAAGTTGAGTGTAAATTACACATAAAAGACACTCAACATCGGTTCATCAATTAGAAACAAGAGAAATCTTGGAGTAGAACATCAATTTATGACCACGCATAAACTTCTTATCACAATTATAGCCCAAGCCTTGGGCTCTCATTTCTTGCATTTGGCTAGAGGCTAGGCGTTTAATAGGTAAAATGGTTGAAGTAGGTGTGCTATGTATGGTTGGCTTTGTGAGTGTTGGGTTAGGGAAAGTGTTTGGAATGTGTGGGTTATTATTTGGTTTATTGTAATTGGGTTTAGTGTCCTTGAATTTGGATTCAAAAAGTTTGGCAAGCCTAATGGCTTGAGATATAGAACAAGGATGTAAGATGAGCAACTCATGATGTTGGAGCCCAAAAATAAAATAGTTTAATAAATTGTCACTAAAGAGACCATAAATCCTATTAGCAAGCTTTTCAAAGTGAGCTTGGTAATCTAAAATTGACCCATATTGACAGAGCTTATAGAGTTCCTATTGATGGTTTTCATAGAACGAGGGGTCAAAACGGAGCTCAAGAGCGCAAGCAAAGGAGTGTCAATTTGTCAACTATTGATTATGGTACATTCACTTGTACCAACTAAGGGTTTTTCGCTTCATATAGAATGCATCAAGGTGAATGCAATGCTCAACAGTGATTTGGTATAATAAAAAGAACTGTTTGGCCTAAAAAATCCAATCCAAGGGGTCTATCCCTTCAAAGTTGGTGAGTTGCAATTTGTGAGGATGGATAGAGGGTAGGGGTGATTGTATAAGGTTTGCAAAAGAGGCTCCCAAAGATGATAAAACTGGTGGTTGGGTAAAGGATAAAGTCATACTATGAGAGTTAGTAGTTTTGTTTGAGAAGGGTCAAGTCATGTAAGGTTGGGTCATAGTGTGTTGGCCAAATGTTAGGGAATATCAAAAGGAAAAATGGTGTGGGGAGGGAAAGGCAAACAAATACCAAGAGGTGGGGGTAGAGGTGGGGGTAGAGGCAGGGATGGCCTAAGAAAGTTGAAAAATGGGGGTGCCCCTTGTGAAATGGAAGACGTAAAGGGAGAGGACATGTACAAAGTAGTGGATAATGGAGGTGTAAATCTAGGGAGTATAGGTGGTATTACCGATGTCGGGGTTGTAGAGGTGGTGCACTTTGGGATGGAACAGTCATAGTCATTAATTTCTCCTTGACAACATCCAAGGATTGTTGCATGGTTGATTGACAACCATTCTAGAAGTGTTGTTAGGTTGCAAATAAGTTTGAATTGCTCCTAATTTGTCATTGAGTTATGGATAGCATCAACCACCTCCTTGGTCTATTTAGGAGGCATTGGATCGAAATGAAAGCACCAAATTATTAAGGAACTAGTAGGGAATCAGGGTTGCAACTACTGCAAATATGAAATTGAGAAGATAAAATACTTCATTCCTCTTGTTGAAAAGGAAAATAAGCACTTAAGTAGCAAATGGTACTATGCTAAGGGTTCACAACTAGGCCCAAATTTAGGCAAACACAAAAAAAAAAATATATATATATATATATATATATATATATATATATATACACAACATCATGAAGACATCAAAATAAGACACCCTAGGTGCTGGTCAAGCTCTAAGTCTAGTCACTTCTCAAAGTAGCTACTAAAAGACTCCTTGTCATCCCAAGCCTCACACCTGATCTTTTTCCCCATATAGTGAGATCATCACAGTCCACATCATGAAAAATATAAGGGTTAGCACGTATAAAACCAACCATAGTACAATATAAATGAAATATCATTAAACTAGATATTCATCAACAACATTTATCTATACCAAGGAAATGACAATATTATTACATGTCGATCTCCATGCCAATATAAACCAAATCCAAAAT